CTCCTGTAGGTCTGTGGTCCTCAGTCTGAGACAGACTCCTGTAGGTCTGTGGTCCTCAGTCTGAGTCAGGACCATCTCCTGTAGGTCTGTGGTCCTCAGTCTGAGTCAGGACCAACTCCTGTAGGTCTGTGGTCCTCAGTCTGAGACTGACTCCTGTAGATCTGTGGTCCTCAGTCTGAGACTGACTCCTGTAGATCTGTGGTCCTCAGTCTGAGTCAGGACTGACTCCTGTAGGTCTGTGGTCCTCAGTCTGAGTCAGGACCGACTCCTGTAGGTCTGTGGCCCCCAGTCTGAGTCAGGACTGACTCCTGTAGGTCTGTGGTCCTCAGTCTGAGTCAGGACCGACTCCTGTAGGTCTGTGGCCCCCAGTCTGAGTCAGGACTGACTCCTGTAGGTCTGTGGTCCTCAGTCTGAGTCAGGACCGACTCCTGTAGGTCTGTGGCCCCCAGTCTGAGTCAGGACTGTCTCCTGTAGGTCTGTGGCCCCCAGTCTGAGTCAGGACTGACTCCTGTAGGTCTGTGGTCCTCAGTCTGAGTCAGGACCGACTCCTGTAGGTCTGTGGCCCCCAGTCTGAGTCAGGACTGACTCCTGTAGGTCTGTGGTCCTCAGTCTGAGTCAGGACCGACTCCTGTAGGTCTGTGGTCCTCAGGTCAACAGAGGGGAGGTTTTAGGCTTTATTATATTAAACAGGAAGTTAGAACTTTCACACAGGAAGTTAGAACTCAAACAGGAAGTCAAATCACACACAGGAAGTTAGAACTCAAACAGGAAGTCAAATCACACACAGGAAGTTAATCAGATTTTGAACTTTCAGAAGAACCCTCAGACTCTTCAGCCTCACCTTCTGGCCTGTAGTGGGCGACGATGGTCACTGTCTGCCCGGCGTTTTTCAGGGTGGCGGCGGCCTGCTCGTGGGTGGCGTTACGGAGGTCGACCCCGTTCACCTGGAGACAGGAAGAAGATTTTATCCATCAGTGTTCGTCTCAGGCTGGATTTGACTCAGTGAGTGGAGAAAGATCCATGAATTAATGTTTGTTTTTGTTTATTTGTGTGTGTGTGTGTGTGTGTGTGTGTGTGTGTGTGTGTGTGTGTGTGTGCACGCGTACAGAAACAAGACGGTCTCCTTTCCTCAGCTCTCCACTCAGATCAGCTGGACCTCCTGCGAGGATGAAGGAGATGAAGATCCCCTCTCCATCCTCTCCTCCCACGATGTTGAAGCCCAGACCCGTGGCTCCTCGATGCAGAACCACCTTCCTGGGCTCCCTGTAGGAGGACAGAGCTGTCAATCATCCTCAGGTCATGTGACCTGACCGAGAGCTGAAATATGAGACTAAACCTGAAACAAAGACAAGAGAAGCTGCAGTTTCCTGTCAGCAGGGGGCGCTGCAGCTGAGCTGGGGCAATAAAATAACAGGAAGTTCAGTTTATTTAGTGAAATCTACTCTGATAAGGATCTGTCTGTTCAAACTAATTAAAAATCAGGATTTCAGAACATCAGAGGCAAAAATAAAGACTTCAGTCCAACAACAAGAACATTAAAGTTTCAACAGAACTAAATGTAATTTTTATTTAAAATAAAGGAGATTAAATAAAAACATCTGTTTTTAAACACTTCCTCTTCTCTTTTACAGTAAAAATCTGCCCCTCACCGTGTGACATCATCATCTCCCAGCATGCTCTTGGGTGTCGGGGAGTAACGTCCTGACGAGGCGGGGGGAGGGAGGGTCTGACCCAGGAAGTTGGGGGGGCTGATATGATTCTCCAGGTGCTGCGAGTACGCTGGAGGAGGGGGCGGAGCAAAGATTAAAGCATCTTTTACTAACACAAGGTCTAACAGCTGCTCTGAGCTTTGTTTGTTTGTGTGTCTGTTTGTCTCATTGTGTGTCTGTTTGTGTAAACAGAGTTGTGACTCACAGTTGGTCAGGTCCGGCGGGGCGAAGTTCTCGTTCATGAAGACACTGTTGGGTTTTGCCACTTTCAAGTAAACCACGTCAGGAGTGTTTTTCAAGGCAGTGACGGCGTGTTCGTGGGTCACCTCCTCCAGACAAACACTGTTCACCTGAGGACACAGACCCGGGTCAGGACTGGCACCAGGTCCCCGCTCACCTGAGTCTGCACGTGGACAACTCACAGCCAGGAGTTTGTCTCCGATCTGCAGCTTGCCGTCCTTCTGAGCGGCTCCGCCCTCGATGATCTTGGTCACGTAGATGCTGTTGTCTCCTGGGATGTGCTGGTTCCCCACTCCTCCCGCGATGCTGAAGCCCAGACCTGAGGGGGACCAGAAGCCCACGGTGAGGACCGGGTCTACAGAAACCACGGCCCGGCTCCGGACTCTGCAGCTTACCTTTGGGTCCTTTCACCAGCTTGATCTCCATCATCTTCTCTGAGACGGGTTTCCTCCTGCGGATGTAGAGGCGGACCAGAGAGCCCGCCTCCTTCAGCGCCTCCACAGCTCGGCTGTGGGTCACGTCCCGCACGTCCACCTCGTTCACTCTGAGGATGACGTCGTTGACCCTGAAACAGAGACTGAGCTCAGTGTGTGTGTGTGTCTCTGTGTGTGTGTGTGTGTCTCTGTGTGTGTAGTCTCAGCCTCACCTGAGCCGGCCGTCCTGGGCGGCGGCTCCTCCAGGTATGACCTTGGTGATGAAGATGCTGGGGTCTTCACCGATGTGGGGGTTGTCGGTGCCGCCGGCGATGCTGAAGCCCAGACCTGAGTTCCCCTGGCGGACCGCCACGGACGGGAGGGAAAAACAAACAAAATAAAAACAAAATCTATCAAACTTCCTGCAGACGTTTCACAATAAAAGCCTCCCAGTTTTATTTTGAAGGTAACAGAACAGTTTCTGTGGTGAGTTTAAACAGTTTAATGTTTCTTAATTTAAATCCAGAGTTTGTTCATTCAGATGGAGACAACAGACCAACAGCTGTTTCCACACTGCAGTGAGTCAGAACAGATGATCCAGCAGAACCTCTGAGGCTCAGCTGGATCAGAGTTTGTTTTCACGCTGCTCTGGAGATGGTTCTCCTCTGGAGGAGCACAGCGTGTCTGACACATTCAACCTGACGTCTGCAGCTTCTGCTTTTATTCCTTTACTCAGAGATGACGAGCAGCTCGTCTTCTCACCCGCTCCAACGTGATCTCCTCATACTCGTAGTCTGCCTCCGTCCCGTTCACCTGTGAACACAAACATCCTCCTCATCATCATCATCATCATCATCATCATCATCATCAGGAGCTGGACAGACAGCAGCCACAGCCTGAGCAGGGTCACACGTTGTTTCCTCAGAGTAAATATCAGTCCTCACCCTGAAGGTCAGACTGTGCAGTGAGCAGGGGTCCTACAGCTAAAGACAACTTCAACATAAGACTTTTTAAGACCTTTTAATGACACCTGAAATGAATTTTAAGACTAACTTCACAATAAACATGAATAAAAAAAAACAAAAAAGTTTATTTTAACACAAACAAGGAGCTGCAGGAGGGATTCATTAAAAATATAAAAATAAACACTGCCAACTATAATTCATCCTACTAACAATGTTTTAACAACTGATTTATTACATTTTAAGGCTAATTCAGGCCTTATTATGGATGAATTCAGTGTCGTTTGAACCCTGAAGGTTAACAAGTTAACACTCAAACACTTCACACCAATAACTGATTTTATTTAATCTGATGTGTTTAAAGAGGAAAATAAATAAAATGAAGCTTGAGGTAACATTTCATCACACTAAGACTAAAGTAGAGACGTTTACCCAGAATGCACTGCAGAGAAAACAGCACATAGAAATTATACGTTTATTCAAAAATTAGATCCAATCTGACATCTTCTGTTTCAAATATCTATCTTCATGCCATTATACTCTCAACCATGTCGTACTGTTTACCTGTTTGGTCTCTTACAACAAATGAAATCTTAGAACCCATAGTTAGGCTCTACAACAGGGCCTACAAAATTCATAAAAAACTTCCTGGTTGGACTCATCACTGTACAGTTCTTTCATTGTCTGATGCCTTGACTTTTCAGAATTATGTTTTGTATAGTGGTATTAATTTATATTTTCAGATCTTCCAAGGTGCCAATTATGGAACTCTCTGTGCATTGTTGCCCAAATCAAATTCTGGAAGTGGTCATTCAACTAGATCTTTTACAAAAGGACAACTGATATTACCAACTTTTAAAAACTGTTACRGCCAGAGGTCTTTCTTCTATGTTTATACTAAAGCATGGAATGACATTCCTCAAAACATAAAGTCCATTTCAAAACTACAGCCCTTTAAGAAGAATCTTGTCTGCCATCTGCTGGACACTTTTTGTTGTGCTCATATTTAGACGTCCTACTTTGCAAATGCTGCCTTCCTGAAATTTGGTATGCTTGTTTGTCTTTGTGTCTATGGTGTATAATGTTGTGATTGTGATGCTGTAATTCTGAGTGTTTTATGTGCTGCAGAACAGGAACCTGCTGTAAAACAGCAATTATGCTGAGTCAGGCTTGATTTTTGTAATCTTTTCCAGTTAAATAAATAAATCAAATCAAATCAAATCAAATCAATATACCAGCACAGTGGTGGTAGACTGTTGGTCTGGGCTTCAGTCACTGGGTCCACCATGCAGACCAAACAACTAACTGGGTTTGTCTGGTTTCAAACTAGGGGTGTAAGAAAATATCGATGCACTGAAATATCGCGATATTTCATTTCCTGATACTGTATCAATATTCTAAAGTCCTGTATCAATTTTTTTATTAAGGTTTAAAATGTCAACTTTCCTGCCAGCCGTTCATTTTTATGTTGTAGTTCAGCCTCTGACCACTAGTTGGCAGCAGTGAGCCAGACATTTGGCTCCTCTACCTCTTGAGGTAGAGGCTATTGTTAAGTGTTGGGTGACCATATTGTAAATTAATATTAAAAACTAAAAGCTGCAAAAATATATTGTCAAACTATTTGTCAAATTTAGTCTAATAATTGAAGACATGGATGAAATAAGAAATATGAAATAAATAAAATAAAACACATACAAAGCAGAACACAGCTAAATGTATCAAAAGTATGTCTGTAATTTTAGAATTTTCTGAGACAATGAATTTTGGGTTTTCTTTTTTTTTTTTTTTCCAGTAAGACGTTTTTATTTAATAGAATTTTAGGACCAAAAAAATCTCAATATATCGCCTTGCTTATAGTATCGCAATATATCGGGATATATCGTATCGTGACCCCTCTGTCATATGTAACGTATTGCCAAATTCTTGCCAATACACAGCCCTATTTCAAAGTGATGATTTCCCTCTGCAGAATGTTTTTAAATGTAACTAGAGAAATTGCATTTCCTGCAAAAATGCTGCTGTGAATGTCTGTCGCTGAAAACTTCAGCTGAATGCTGCTGAAATCGAGCTGAAAATATTTAATGGCAAAAGTGTTCATGTGAGTTCACTTTGTAAAGCTTAAAGAMCMAAAAAAAAAAAAAACTTGCAGAAAAACAGTAAAAAGAAACACAAGTCTGGATGAAAACAACAGAAAACAGCAGACTGTGTGGAAGAATGGGCCAAAATCACACCTGAGCAATGCATGCCACTAGTTTCTCCATACAGGAGGCGTCTTGAAGCTGTCATTGACAACAAAGACTTTTCTACAAAGTATTAGATAAATTTCAGTAAGTGTGTTCAATACTTTTTCCCTGTGCCATTCCACATTATTACAAATAACTTCATTTCTGGACATTTATGGTTTGATTTCTTTGTATGTATGGATCACTTGGGTTGTTACCAACATCTGGTGAAAATTTCATGTCATTAGCACCTCTAGTAATATATTTACTGAGAAAAATGGTGACGTGTTCAATACTTATTTTACCCGCTGTATCTGTAAGAAGCATAAATAGCAGAAAATAGTACTGAAAAGTAGAAAAAAAGCAGAATAGCAGAAAGATGAATTTTAGCTGAAATAGCAGAAAAAAATCTCAAATTAGCAAAAAGTAGCAAAAATTTGCACAAGAACGTGAAACAGAGTAGAACCAGAACACAATGTGTAAGGTGCTGTAAAGATTTAGAAATATTTTAAAAGATTTTAAGCACGTTGAAAACAGCTCCGTTCATTTTCAACGGAAAAAAAGTGGCTAAAAAAGTGAACTAGCTAAAAAAAGTATAAAAAGCAGAAATACTAAAAGTCATAGCATTCTTGGCATGAATGAGCTGAATGTTTTGATTTGTGAATCGTTGAAGAAGCACATACATTGTGGAATGAGTTAGATGCTGAAAAACATAATAAAAACTGATGTGAATAGTGTGCATGTTGTGAAGCGACACACAACAAACATGTGAAACTCACGTATGGAGGCGTGTCCAGGCTGTCCGTGTTGACCACCACAGGTGGAGGGTTGGCCTGAGGAGAAACCAAACCAAACAATCAAACATCCTGAGAGTGAAGACCATCAACATCCACCCAGAACACCTGAGCTCCGCCCCACCAACACGAGCCGAAGTCCTCGCTCTGAACCCGAGAGGCGTACGTACGTCATCGCTCCTCACGCTGCACAAGATGCAGTTCTGAAGCATGAAGCCTGGGAATCGAACCGACGGCTCTCTGCAGGACGGGACGTTGGCCTCCTCTCTGGACTCAGAGCGGTTCTGCTCGGCCCGGCTCGGAGCCGCAGCCAGATGGGCTCTTTAGTGTGGATGGGGGGAAGTGTGACATTTCTGCTCTGACTCTTTATCTCTAATCTGCTTCAGATGATCAGCTGCACGGCAGAGAGACGAGCAGCCAAACAGCTGGATAAACCTCTGGATGGATGGATGGATGGATGGAGGGAGGGATGGATGACAGAGAGAAGGAGAAGTGCAGTAAAATAAAAATGGACCTGTGACGTTGGAGGGATGGCGGTGGTCTCGGCTGGGATTGGTGAGATGGGGATCACAGGGATTATGGGGGAGGAGGGCGGGGCCGCCTCGGCCTGCTGAACAATAGCATGTCAGGGGTCAAAGGTCACAAGACAAACAGCAGGACAGATGAGCAGCAGGAAGATGAGGGATGAGGGCTGCCGTGAGTGGGCAGAGTCAAACCGCACAGGCCCGCAGACTGACAGAGAAACCGACCAATCACAGGAGGAGGAGGAGTGATTGACAGATTTCTCTGACACGTCCAACGATCCTGATGTGTCAAACTGACCCATCTGCTGCTCTGAGGATAAACGCCATGCTGCCTCTCTTTGTGTGTGTGTGTGTGTGTGTGTGTGTGTGTGTGTGTGTGTGTGTGTGTGTGTGTGTGTGTGTGTGAATCTGTCAGGACCTTCGTTAAAAATCAGCAGAGGTTAAGATCTGAATGTTCACCCCGACAGGAAGCTCCCAAAGGTCAAAGCTTAAAGAAAACTAACAGCCGGAGCAACTGCTTCAACAACCCGACTACAGCTGCTGAATTTATTGGTTTTAGCTGTTCTAAAATCCAAACATTCGGCTCATTCAGGAGACGGCTGCTTTTCAACCTTTCTAATTGTTTAATAATTGACAGATGTCTTCAGTTCCAGCTTCTGTTTTTGTTTTCTGATGCTACCTACTTTTAGCTTCTCGCTAGTTTTCTGCTACTTCAAGTTCTTACAGCTCAGTTTTAGCTCCTTCAGCAGGTTTCAGCTGTTCTTTCTAGTTTTTAGAGACGTGACTTTCTGCTGCAGAAAGCAGGACCAGGACCGGTCCTGAAACATGGGTCAGAACCAAACCTGTGAGGCTGAACAACACATCAGGATAATCTAAGATTTTCAGAATAAAAGTAAATCGTCTCGAACAAAACAGGAAATAAAAGCTGAATTTATAATAAACTCCTTAATTTGAATAGAACTCCAGGAAATAAAAAACTTGTCAGAAAACATCTGACCTAAAAGAAGTTGAATAAAACAACTCATCCCAGCTGGAATCAATCAAAGTGATAAAAATAAAATGATTCTTATTTTAGCAGCCTCTGCAGGACTTTGTTGATGTTTTTTTATCATGTCAAGAAAAAAAGAAACAAAAATAGCTGCAGGGGCTCCAGCATGTAACCTTTCCAAAAGTAGAAATACTAATTAAAGTTTTAAAGAAGTGTTTTACTTTAAATCAAAAATAGTTTAATCCTCAGGTTTGTTAGACAAATTATTCCTGTTTAAAGTTTGAGGAGGACCATTTAAAGAAGTTCTTTATTCTGTAACGTGCTCTGTGAGGCAGCCTTCATCATCACCATCATCATCATCATCATCATCATCAGGGTTACGTAACAGCAGGACTTTGTGGAGCCGCTGCAGGACGTCCTGTTGGTCCTGCTGCAGAACCAGAGCTGATGGAAAACCAACAGGAGCTAATATTAGCCGGGACCATCGACAGCATTGATCCCGCAGCCCTACTTCTAAAAAGCTGCTGACGGCTGGGTCTAATTACTGAAACTACTTCAACAGAGTTCATGTTTAAGCTGGGAGTGAGCGCTCCTGCTCCATACAGGATCTTTGAGATGAAGACGATCAATGACCCGAACAGAAAGTCTGATCCAGAACAAAGACATGATTTAAAATATAAAAACAAAAACCACCTGATCTACAGCACGAATCAGACACTAGAACAGAATGAGAGGAAAATTAATCATTTTTAGGATCAAACTAATAAAACCGTGTCCTTCCTGAAACTGAAGGTCTGATTATAAAGATAAATCTGCTGCAGTCAAACTAACATCAGAGGATCAGTTAAACCAACTCCAAGTCTCAAACTGAAGCTCCGAACGACAGAAACAAACTGAGGAACAGCTCAGAGGTCAGAGGTCAACAGGACCACTGCAGCTTCAACGCTAACGCTCTGAACACGTTAAAGATGTTTCAGCTGCTGCCTATGTTTCGACTCATAGTTACGATGTTTCAGCTAGTTTTTACAATATTTCAACTTGTAGTTATGATGTTTCAACTCGTAGTTACAATGTTTCAGCTCATGGTTACATTTCAACTCTTGGTTACGGTGCTTCAGCTAGTGGCTACGATGTTTTGACTCATGGTTACATTTCGACTCGTAGTTACGATGTTTCGACTCATGTTTACATTTTGACTCGTAGCTATGATGTTTCGACTCATGTTTACATTTTGACTCGTAGCTATGTTTCGACTCGTAGCTATGATGCTTCAGCTAGTGGCTACGAAGTTTTGACTCGTGGTTAAATTTCGACTCGTAGTTACGATGTTTCAGCTGGCGGCTACAATTTTCAGTTCATGTTACGATGTTTTGACTTGTAGCTAAGATGCGTCCACTCATAGTTACGATGCTTCAGCTGGTGGTTACGATGTTTCGGCTCATGGTTAAGATGTTTCAGCTCATAGTTACGATGTTTCAACTCGTGGCTAAGATGTTTCAGCTCATAGTTACGATGTTTCGACTCGTGGCTAAGATGTTTCAGCTCATAGTTACAATGTTTCGGCTCGTGGTTAAGATGTTTCAGCTCATAGTTACGATGTTTCGACTCGTGGCTAAGATGTTTCAGCTCATAGTTACGATGTTTCGTCTCGTGGCTAAGATGTTTCATCTCATAGTTACAATGTTTCGGCTCGTGGCTAAGATGTTTCAGCTCATAGTTACGATGTTTCGGCTTATGGTTAAGATGTTTCAGCTCATAGTTACGATGTTTCGGCTCGTAGCTAAGATGTTTCAGCTCATAGTTACGATGTTTCGGCTTACGGTTAAGATGTTTCATCTCAGTTAGGATGTTTTGACTTGTAGCTAAGATGTTTCAGCTCATAGTTACGATGTTTCGGCTCGTAGCTAAGATGTTTCAGCTCATAGGATGTTTTGACTTGTAGCTAAGATGTTTCAGCTCATAGTTAGGATGTTTTGACTTGTAGCTAAGATGTTTCAGCTCATAGTTACGATGTTTCGGCTTATGGTTAAGATGTTTCATCTCAGTTAGGATGTTTTGACTTGTAGCTAAGATGTTTCAGCTCATAGTTACGATGTTTCGGCTTATGGTTAAGATGTTTCATCTCATAGTTAGGATGTTTTGACTTGTAGCTAAGATGTTTCAGCTCATAGTTACGATGTTTCGGCTCATGGCTAAGATGTTTCAGCTCATAGTTACGATGTTTCGGCTCATGGTTAGGATGTTTTGACTTGTAGCTAAGATGTTTCAGCTCATAGTTACGATGTTTCGGCTCGTAGCTAAGATGTTTCAGCTCATAGTTATGATGTTTCGGCTCGTTATAAACTGAAGTACCTGAGTGAAAACGAACGGTACCCAGGGCACTTCCGTCCTGCTGCTGACCACCTTGGCCGTGCTCTTGGTGGGGCTTTTCTTGACGCTGTCCCGGAGGTTCAGGAAGCGGCTGCGAGCTCTGAAGGAGGCGGGCATGGTGCAGGAGGTGAAGGTGGACAGGGAGGCCTGAACCAGCGGGGGGTCCGACTGCAGCAGCTGTCGGGGGAGCTCCACGGCGTGCTGACGCTGCAGACGAGCTATGGACTCCTGCAGGCTGACATCGAGCGGTGGCGGGTTTAAGGCCTTGGAGGTGAACTCCTGCCGGGGCCGATGAGTGAACATCTTCCTCATCGACAGAGGAGGAGGAAGAGGAGGGTGAATAAATGTTGAAGGGTCTGTTTGATCCCTGTGCTCCAACACTAAAACACAGCAACGCTCCTCTTCATCATCATCATCCCTGGGTCTTCCCTCCCTGCCTCCTCCCTGTGACACCTCCCTCAGCTTCAGTCAGGCGTGGGGGGAGGAGCATGAATAATCGACCCACCTAGATTCAGACCCGACCACACGCATGACGCAGACAGGAAGCTGAGCTACGCTCTGACAATCCTTCAAAATAAAACTTTACAGCTAAATAAAAACTGCCCCATCAAAGTAAAACTGATAAAATACCCATGTTAAAGATTTGTCTGTACAGGAAGTAAAACTATAATTATTCATGTTAAAGATTTGTTTTTGAGTTAGTAAAACTATAATTATTAATGTTAAAGTTTTGTCTGTACAGTTAGTAAAACTATAATTATTCATGTTAAAGATTTGTCTGTACAGGAAGTAAAACTATAATTATCCATGTTAAAGATTTGTCTGTACAGGAAGTAAAACTGAACTTTGACCTCATCAGTTTGACAGCAGCAGGGTTTTAAACGTGTATTTGTTTATTTCTACTAAATACAGAAATGAGCTGAGATTTATCTCTTTGATTCAGTTTAAACAAAAATAAAAATGTGTCTGCAGCGCCACCTGCAGTTGGAGATCACCGTCCTCTGCTCCAGGTTAGATCAACAAACAGCTGAGGAGCTGTGAGAACCAACAGAACCAAACGTCTGCTCAAATCAAACACCATCTCAAATTATTTAAGCTCAAAGACAAAAAGACAAATCCTCTGAAACTGATTGTAAATAATAAATACAAAAGTTTTTAACTGGTTCTTAGCAGAACGTGGAACAGATGCAAGAATCATGATGTTTGGTTTTGCACCTAAATCAAACATCAGGTCCGATTAAAACCAGTTCAGTCCACAGTAATAACAGATCATTAAAGGTGATGCAGTGAGAAAATTTGTTTTCTTTCATTGAAACAGTGCAAACTGTAGCTTACAAGCCTAAATAATATTTGGTTCCATCAGGTAACTTTGGCAAATAAAGAGCAAACTTTCCCAAATCTTCAGGATTTGTTGTTCATGATGAGAGGAATTAACACAGTTAAAGACTTGGAGGTAAATTATTTTTGTTTCCATGTTACAGAGGAGGAACAGATTATTTTAAACAGCTGAAATATTTGGTTCTTGTATCAGCAATAAAAAAATTATAAATACACACAATGGGCCTCGTGCAAGAACCGTTCGTACGCACAGATTTGTTCTTAAGTTGTGCGTACGAGTGATTTAGGAGAATTTGTGACATTCACCAATGTTTTCATATTCTAAGATGTTTTTCAGATACGAACAAAATTCAGGAGTGGTCCAGACCTGTCGTATATTTTACCAGCAGTC